CTTCCAGACAGTGATTTTCTCTTGCTGGTCCGGCCAGGCGTCACCTTGGATGGCAGCATTTGGATTCTACTGGGACTTCAGATGTTGCATAAAGGGTTACCATCCCCACTTAAGACACAGAAAAGTGTCTTCCAGTTTCACAGGGAGGCCTAGGCCAGGTGATTCCAAAGCCTAGTGAATACTCCCCCTGCAAGAGAGCCCACTGGATGGGTAACCGAAGGGCAGGCGCTGGGGCGGCTCGGACTGCTGCCTGCGCTTTGAGATCCCAGAACCAACTCCTGGTCTAGGCTCCCGGGGAAAGCAGCTCTCTGTAGCTGTCATTCCCACATCCCAGCACACAGAAACGGTTCCATTTTCCGGCTGCAAAGAACCAGAGCTTTGGTGCCAGCAGAGCCCTACTGCAGGGCAACGTAAAGCCCAAGACCCCAACCCCCTGGGAACAAAGGCTCCCTTGCCCGTTCCTCACTCCACACACTTTAGAGTGCCAGTCTTGGGTATCAAGGTGTACAGGGAATACTGGGGACAAAAAAATGACTTGTCTCCTCAGGAAAAACATACGAGACAATTGGAGACGGCAGACAGAGTGCAGTACTGTTCCCGGTACTGAGAACACACTGAAGCTTTGGTGTTGCCAAATCGGCCAGAGTTTAAACAATCATCAAAATGTCAATGTAGAGACTGAATTAACTTTACATTTTAAGTTAAAATATTGGTAGAGCTACAGCAATTAGGAAGAGTTTACAACCTAGATAAGAACTGTTTTCAGAATCATTATAGAAATTTAAAACGTGTGTTGGTTTCAAACAGACCTTACCTCAGCAGTGCAGGACAGTGGTTAGGCACAGGAGCCAGACCAGGTGAGTAACCACAGGACCACGAGATCAGGTTAACAGACAGAAAACGCAGAAGACTTGTTTGACCAGTACCCTCGAGGCTCTCCCTGCTCTTGGGAGGTTCGAGCCTTCATTTGGAAGTTATCTCCCCCGATCAGTCTTTTGGTCAGTCTTTTGGTCAGTCTTTTAGTCAGTCTTTTAGTCGATGCTTGGGGCACTTGATGAGGGCGGGGCTGACTTCCACACAGCCCAAGGTGGAAAGCACTGAGCACTGGATTAGAGAATACCTCTCTCCCCTCAAACCTTTAGGACTCAAACTAGTATTTTGTATAAGTTCATCTACTTAAAAAAAAAAAAACTTACTTAAAAAGTTATTGTCTCTATTTCCCTCTTCCTCAACTAGAAATACATATGCAATACCCTCCCCAATATATATATGCTATAACTACAAGCACATTTTTATTCTGCTTCACAAACATTATTTTTTAGAAGTTATAGATAAGACCCTTCAGCAGAAAAATGATGACTATTATGGTGGTCTGAAACCACATCTGCAGTATCTGAGGTATGCCTGTAAAACTTGGCATCTGAATTCCCTAACAAGCACTCATAAATACTTCGGGAAATCAGATAAGGTATACATTTTGTTTGTAATCAACTCAAACTACAGAACAGAAACTCAAGTCCTAAGGAAAGCCATCTACTCAAGATAATAACCAACACGTTTTGTGAGTAGGGCCGGCAACTGCAGAAAACATCCAACAAAACCAAAGCAGCAGCTGCAAAAACGGCAAATTTTAACGCTCCGAAATCTTATGAAAATTTAGGCTGGTTTTAAAACATTGAAGCAGAGACAAAATTAATTTTAACATTGTTTTAATCAAGTAATGTAGCTGTTTGAAACAGGAAATTTTAAGACAGCTGAATAGAGCAAAGTGAAGAGGTACATTACTCTATCAGGGTAGCCTCTGTGAATAAAATTACATGGATCTGAATTCCATTGGACGTTTGGCACCAGACTGAACACCAGTTTAAGCCAAAAATTTCTCTTTAGTGTTTAGAAGCCCTGAACATGTTCTTTAATTAAAAAACAAAAACGAAAACTGAACCTCTGTTAACAACCTTATAAGCTTGATACTGGGTATATTGAGTGCAAGTTGGCTTTAGACCACCACTATCTACCTCCTACAGAATTTCAAATAATGAAAGCAAACGGGCCCATGGTAAAGAATTTGAAACCTAGGTGAGATATGAATTTGCAAAAACCTCTTTGGTGTGACAAAGCACAATCCTTCCAGGTATGTGGCTTCTGCTTTGCTCTCATCAAAATCTATCAAAAGGCAGATGGTGGCCAACTCACCTCTCTCCAGTAAAATCGCTGAATTTTAATTTCTTAAAATATCAAGCTAACAAGGTTTTAATTATATCAAGAGTTTGTATAATTTCAATGTGAAAAATTTTACACACATTTGTTAAGGTCTCATTACAATCTGTGAGATGAATCACAAAGCAGAGATTTGAATGCTGTAAGCTTGTGTTCCAAATGAAACCAACCTGTGGTTCTTGATTCCCACGGGGCACTTTTCATGGCAAATAAATGCAGCAAATTTCTATCTTGAAAATGGTTTCTCAGGTGTAGCCAGAACACATGTCAAGTGGAGTTTAGATCAGCTAATTAATTGGGCAAGGATTTATAAGGAAGTTACTTCCAAATCTAAAGCCTAGGATGGGCTGGGCCAGGCCCTAGTCACCTGCATTCAGTGGCCATCAACCACAGACTTCTCGAGTGTCTGGCTATATTCAATGTGAAATAAAAGACACCAAGTTTTCAACCAATATACAGCCTCTGACCTGAAAGTACAATTTTGGCTTTTCAAATAAAACATCTTGTGGGGGAGGACAAGTTTGAGACATAGTAACACTTATTTTGGCAAGATAGCAACCAAAACCTAAAAAGCATAGCTATGTGTTCAAATGTAAAAGGCATTAAAGAAAAAGCCATAGTATCGGGGAAAATCCACACTGAACAAAATATACAGTATATATCTAAACATTTTGAAGTTATAATTTAAACCGTAAAAGCTGAAAAATTATTATTTTTTTGCTAGAGATTAAGTGCACCTTTTTTGTCATCCCCCAAATAAAATCACTGAGCTTACTATTTAATCATACTCCAAAGCTTGAAGAGTTTTCTCTCAGCACAAAGCAACAGCTACATACACAGAAAATGCTTATGTTAATGTAATAACTCCCCTGGCTCATCCAACGTGCAATGCACAATGACTTCAAAGACTACAATTTGGGGCAAGTGTACACAAACTGACAAAAAAAAATTCAAGTTTCAAAAACTGCTCTTAAAATTATTTATAGGACACTCAGATCATTTTTACTTAGTACAATAAAGGTGTTGCACTGCCATTTAATTATTAGTCCACCTTGGCAAGGTACGTAAGAATATACATTACCAGAAGCCAATTTGAGGAACTAGAGACAAGTACTGTGTTTAACAGCTGAGTAAGGTAATTACAAATAAGTTTGTTTACATTCTGCTGAAGACCATTTTACAGTCTTAGCACCTAACAATTTCTAACAGGCCCCAAGAATCCTATCAGGTTAAATGATGGTACATTTTTAAAAGGAGCCAATTATTTCAGCTTAAGTCATTCAGAGCCAAAAATATGAAGAATGACCAAAATCAAATCTTTATTTTTATAACTGTATAAATGTGATCCAAATGTGTCCACCACTAATTTCTCAAAAAGAAACATGCTATAAATAAGCAAACTACATCTGCTCACTGATATGTGTATGGACTCCCTAGATGTCTCACTGGGCTTAATTACAGACCACTCACAGCAATACATTTTTAGTAAAAAGTGTAGCATGATGTTAAGCCATTTCTTTTTAGCTTTTGCACATACATGTTGCACTTCTGGTTGATGATGCAGAAAGAGTCTCAGCATTACACTGTTAAGCCGGGTTGTACCCACCCCTTTAAATGGCATCAATATCAATGTCATCGTCCTTGTTGTCAGACTTCACAGCTTCAACTTTCGGTACACTGGCAGTCTTCGAATATACCACCTAATAAAGAAAACATTACTTATTGAGTGTTAACCTTTATCCCAATGTGCCTGTAATGTTAAGTCGACGGTAAACAGAAAAATTACCTAGATGCAGTTATTATTCATTAAAGTTTTTAGGCAGAAGAAAAGCTCTCCACAGTCTAACAGTATCTTGTTAGTTTTTACAGACCACTGACACCTCTACACTCGACCTGCATTAAATAAACTCTAACTTTGGGAATTCTAGTATTTACTTTTTTTGGGGTGGGGATCCTGAGGGTGAGGTGGGGTATGTGAGTCCACTACCGTTTCGGTTAAGGATTATTTTCCAAATTAACAGTCTATAATCGACTGGCTCAATTACCCAAGTTTGCCCTTTTACAGTTCTTGAACGCCCATCACAAATACCGATTTTAACCCTTTCCCCAGGGTTCACACCTCAATATTCTCATCTTCATCATCTTCTTCACCACCGGAAGATTCCTCCTCTGCTTCCTTCAACCACTTTATAAATGGTTCTGCTTTGACACGAATCTCTTTGGCAAGTTCTTTCGAGACGTATTTCTTAGAAGCCTAAAAAACATTAGGTACGATTTTCTTTTAATTTGGTAATTTAAAAAATAGCTTGTTATTTATACATTTAGCTGCCCATATTGAGCTCTGAGGGAACTGGGTCACACCCTAATCTTGAAATCCTCAACAGAATACATGTATTCAACAAGAATATCCGAGTCTGAGGAATATCTTTTATTATCATTAGCAAAACAAGCTGCCATGGTGGAAATCGCCTATGAGTTAAATCAGTCAAGCACAAGGACTGCATTTTCATGCAGAAAGAAACTAGGTATTCGAAGTTACTTATTGCAGATAAGCCCCAACAGCTGTCTCAATATTTTTGATCTTGAAGCTGTTTGTATATATTCCCCACCTTTTCTGACCAGCTGATGATGACCTCTTCTTCCAAAAGGTCTGCGTCATACATCTCCTTTAAGATATGTGGGATCTTGGAGATAAGCTGAGCTTGATGCATTGCTACCACACACTCTAAACCATGAAGAAGGTACCGTTGAGCTTTTTTGTTGTTGTGACAAAACTGCAAACAGATTATCTTTGTATTAACAAGCTTTTACAGATGGTCTAGGTTGACAATTCTAACATCCAAGTATATTCATTGCCTTAGGATTGTTCCTCAGTAATGGCCCCATAACAGTGGTTCAAAAAGGTCAATGCACAAAGTTTCCTGTATTACTTTATCTATAAAGAACCATGTGTAGTTTTCAGATACTCCCATGCTTGTAAAGCATGTCAATTACCTCCATTTTTCAGGATGATAGAGAAATGGGGGAGTGAGGTTAAAGTGATATTCCCAAGGTCACACAACTGTAATCTCATTTATGAATCTAAAATAATTTGCTTACTCGTAAGAAATGGCGCCTGTACTTCTTAATCTGTTCTCTAATCTTCTCATTAAAAAGAACTTCAGTCAAAACAAGAGGACCCATGGCTTTTACATCCAGTCTTTCTGCTTCAGCAACAATTTCTTTGTCGGAGGAGTCAATGATACCCTCTTCTTTCTTTTTCTGCAAATAAAAAGCAGCAACTCAGTGAAATGAAGGCACCTTTTGCTCTAGAGATACTACTTGGTCCCTGTTCTTATGACCTTTCCCCCCAATTTGATAGTTCTAGAATTGCCAGAAGATACCAAAGAATGCCTGGGACCACAGTCAAAAGATATTTGAATTAACAGAAAAAGTAAAAATTAGCCTTGCAATTCAATATTCAAAAGATACCATGACAAAGTTTTTTCCCAAGTACCCAGTTTAGAATAACAACAAAAGTCTAAGGCTGAGTTGAAGTTGATTTTACTGATCAAGATGTTCAAGTGCTCAAAAATAAATATTTTCGTAATTTACCTTTACGAAATCGAACAGGATATTAACCCGTTCTTCAACAGTCCTTTCCAAATCATCACTGAGAGTCAGAACTTTGGCATGATCACTGATTTCATCCATTCTGCGCCTTTGAGCTTCCTCAGTTGTATCCTCCCCCCAATCATCATCCTCCTCTTCTTCCTGTTTATAAGAGCAAGAATGCTTTAAAATGTTTCAGTTCCAGTCAAGTTCATGGCATTGAATTCATGTTCCACTAAAATAAGCTGGGTTCCACCTTAATTCAATCAACCAACAGCACCGAGAGCCCTAAATACTGTTGTAGTGTTCCACTGAAGCTAGTCTCAGTACTTCTCTTCACCGTTACCAAGTTATTTACAATTTTAGCACCTGCCACACCACTGACTCTGCACTTACCACAGCATGTGGAGGACTGATTTCATTTGGTGGTGGTGGTGGCGGCGGCGTCGTCTCACTACTGGACACGGAGCCATTTTCCTTGTCTTTGCCCTTTCTATTTTTCTTTTCCTTTTCTTTCTTCCCTGTACCACTGTCACTATTCTCTACAGGAAAACAAAAGGAAAGTTTAGTACCATGGCTTTTACTACCCCTCATCGTCTGTCATGAACATTTAAAACCCTGCCCCTTTGCTTCTGAACTCTTCTCTCAGGAACAACCCTAACACAGTACTCTCCCTAAAATTCTAAGAGGATTCACAGACTGAATCCATTCACCATGTTTCATAGGTAAGAAACTCTGGCTAAGCTCGGAATGTCCCAAAATGTTAGCGGCATTAAATGCTGGGTAAGAGAGATGAAGTGATGACTCAAGTTAGTGGAGACTGGCATTCATGCTCCTCACCCAACCTTCACGAATTTGAACAAGGGCATAGTTCAACTGCACGTTAGCCAACAGCTGGAACACTGTTTAAGTCTATATAACGGTTTGTCTCATGGAGAAGAGAACACCGGAATAGGTTTGACTTTCTTGCTATAGCAAGCTCAAATTGTGTCAGACAGTTTTGATCATCTGCCACAGAGTGTTGCTTGCAATACTCTATAAAGGCACTTAGATATGAGCCAAGCCCCCCACCCATTTAAAAAGTATTCCAGAAATAGATCCTTTGGTGGGATCCCATCAGAATTCATTTCAGACTTGTTTTCAATAAAGTACTATTCAAGAATTACAAATTCCTTATATTCTAATTTTATGGCAACAAAGAAAATTTCATTTCATTTCCCAAACCCAGCTGCTTTACAGTTCAGACCTCAGAAGCTCACCATGAAGACTTACCAGGTGGGTTCTTGAGAATGAATGTGCAGAGTTTATGATGTGTGTCGAGCATGCCTCGGTAACCACAGGCTTTACAAGAGTTACCTATTGTTTGCTTCTTTGGATTGACATGCTGCCAAAAAAGTAAAAACAAGTATGTCATCCATAATATAGGAAAATTCTGTAAGGAACAAGTGTGAAAATATCTAACCACCACACAACATCTAAACACCAAGCTTCTTAACATACGAAAGAAAATGTTCCCCCAATTATCTACTTAAATTTAATTAGTATAGGAATAGTCCCCAAATTTGTAGGTTTTTGTATTTTATTTCTCATTAAGTCTGTCTTCTCAAAACATGATTTGATCCTATCAAAGAACTGATCAAAAAAGCAGATATATGGTTTCTTCTATTGACAAAAACCTCAAAAGCACTCACCAGCTCTGTTTCAGGATTCTCACACTCAGGACAGAGAACAAATTTTTTAATGAATCCATCCAACATGTCTTGCAGCTTATTCGCCTCATGAGATCCATTGACAATGTAACGGTCATTCTTAACATCAAACTGGGTCTGTGCGCCCAGCTCGCAACCAAAATATTTGGTGGGATCTATTTGCAAGGGGAAAAAAAAAACACATTTGGTTCATTACAGTTAACTAATCTTTGGCTAGTCAACCACATTTAACACTGCCTGTTTTTATGTCATTGGGTTAGAAAGATGTTTCCTGGGTATTCTTGCACTAATAGCGACTAATAAGTTTTAAATCCCAGGTCCCATTTAACTTTAAGCTAAGCATACAACTCAGATAAGATTTTCAAACCAAAATGGTCACGACTGTATCACTAATAGAAGCCTTTCCAGACTTCTCCAAGAGACATTACTTACACGTTGGAGGCCGATTAAGCGCCTTTGCAACGTCAACCATGTTGACTATAACTGTCTTGATTCCATTTCCTTTGCCCTCAACCTAAAGAAAATAAAAAATTTAATTTGCACTGTCTACCCAGGAGAAGCAATCTTTAAAACAATCATCTACGGAAAAAGCTTAGGACTTGCTACTAAGATGTACCTTGGCAATCAGACGGGGCATCTTGTAGCGATAGAACTGGTCTGACACGCTGCGGTTGACGTTGACAGACATTTTGGCTTATTAGTGGCTTTATCAATAAGATGAAGAGATCTTTGATTGCAACTTTTTGGTATCTTCTGTCTGGAGAAGAAGGGATGACATAAACGACTGCAAGAGTTCTCGGTCTCTGACATGAAAAAATTTTCGCCACTGAGGCTGTAAGCTTCTTGCTTGTATGCTATGTTTCCCCAATACAGGTACCAATGGCTGCGCAACAGCTCTGAAAGAGAAAAGAACACCCCCCCACCACGTTCCCATTAGTTACGCCAAATTCTCCTATGTTAAACAGTATCCCCCTTGATGTGAAAACAAAAAACCACAAATATTTTCCTAACACGGGACACCTATAGGTGTCCAACATAATAGGCCCTCCATTTCGATTAAGACGTGACTCTGGTAAGGAAATGCCAGACTAAAAACAAACTGCTCTGGATTTCTACCAAACCGAACACATTCAAGCATTTCAACGGTACTTCTGAAAACGGACATATTTTAACGATTGACGATAAACGAACACAAAACCTCTCTCCTACCCCCAAACCGCGCTTGTATTGGCAAAAAAGTTCCGATACACTCCTCCCCTCCCCCGCACGAGCCGTCATTTTAAGACGGAAAGCTACGGAACGGGTCTTGACAGCCGACTCGTCCCCTCGGCAGCCAACGCTTACTTCGAAGAAACACTTTCGTAAGCCACGGGAAACGCGGTCTCGCGGAGCGAGCGTGCACCGAGGGGAGGGAAGGCGCCGACCTCGACCTCCACTCCCTCGCCCGCTCTATGCAAACACTCGGTTAACCTTCGCTCCCGTCCCCATGGCCACCGGGCGTTTCGTGCGCGGCTGCGGGGCGCTGCCCGCGGCACCACCTGCGCGGCGCGACATGGCGAGGCTCCTGC